GTCCAGACGCTTTTCTTTGCAAGCTCCTTTGATCTCCACAGATATTCTCCATTTTCCAAGCAAAACGTAAAGAAATGAGGGTAAGTTCGATACTTTCACACATTATAGTATACCAAATTTTTTTAAAATCACACAATAATAAAAGTAGTATTTGGGTTTCAGTGGAATACATAAACATCAGGACTTTGCCCTTATCTTCCAGACAGTGGAAATAAAGGACAAAGATACTGGTGTCCTTGTTATCTAATAAAAAGGAAATGGTAGCTCTAACAATATTTTGAAGGCTTTTATTCCTCTGATGATAATTTAATACTTTTAAAGATGGTCAAATACTACAATTATACGTTTTTGCTTTAAAATGTTTTATTTAAAAAAAATCTGTATTTAAAATGCAGGTTAAGTTTTCTGACAACAAACAACTAATTTGCAATTGTTTGTTTTTTCTCTATGTAGAAGAAGAAAAAGAAAGAAAGAAAAAGTAAGACCCCTTATTAACTTAAATACACAAACTCGGTACATATTGATCAATCTGACTTATTGCCTTTCAGTGCGAAAACATGCCGGAGAAGCCGATATAACTTAAAAATAAAGAATAACGATTTGATTAGAAAAGTGATGTTTATTTTATTAAGACAAACTATAGAAGACAATTATTTACAACACTGCAAGGTGTCCATTCAGAAACTGTTTTGAATTGTTAATTCTTTAAAGCAGCGGTCCCCAACCCCTGGGCCACGGACCAGTACTGGACCAAGAGAGGCTCGGGTGTGAAATTCATGGTTTTCAGGGTTTTTATTGTTAGCTGCTAATAAAATTAGACAATTATACAGTGAATTCACGTTTATTATTATATTTACGAAATACCAGTTTTTATTTTGGTCGTATCATTTTATTTTGTTGTATTCATCCGCGGCCTTAAAGGCCGGTCTGTGAAAATATTGTCTGACATTAAACCGGTCCGTGGTGCAAAAAAGGTTGGGGACCGCTGCTTTAAAGGACTCCACTGAACTCAAGCGTGACATAAACACAAAGCATGAAAAAGCATCTTTTCCAAAAGCTGTAAACAGTGATCGTCGTTCAACAAAACAAGCTTGGCTCAACAAATGAGGAACGTGTGTTTTTCAGTATTTATTGAAAAACTTTGCAATAATTCAGTTTATCACACAGGCTCACAAAATGATTCATGAGTAAAACTGATAGTCACTCTTAAAATGTAAATACAAAATGCCAGAACACGTTATTGTTGTGGACCAAAACAAAATTGTAATCGGTACACTGTAACAGCCAAGAAAACATCTGCATGAAGTAGATTTTAATACTGAACCCACAGTGTCAATGTCCAATATGTTGTATTTACTTGTTAGTCAGTCAATCCATGCCTCATTAGTGGGGGCAGTACTGTGCCCCCCCCCTACCCACCACCACAGAGCACAGTGTATTTTCTCCAATTTGTAAAATGAGAAAGATGTAGGGCGGCAAGAATGTGATGGTTCAAAAGAATAGTGAATATTGTGCTCAAAAGAAAAACAAAAACCATCCAAGGACCACTCTCTTTATGATTTTAGAAATTTTACATCAAGTAAAATTTCTAAAATCATAAACATGTATCCAACAGGCCTATTTCACAGCAGCCATTTGACTTAAAATAGTGGCTAAACAGACAGGAAGCTTTAATAATGTGTTTAGATTAGTGACACTTGTGTCTCCCTACTATCTGCTGTGGCTGCCGCGAAATAGGCATAATGCATAATCCCAGGGTGGCTTCTGGTTAAACTGAATTTGACACAGAGCACTCGTATCAAATTTGCACGTCTCTCTTTATCTACATGTCTTCTGTTCATTTTATACGAATTTAATTACAGAATACTGAAACCTAAACCTGACAAACAGCTGACTAAACGATTAGAGCATAATCTTCCAAGTCACTTGAGTGTCTAAGTTTCCCAGGTGTGCAACAACATTTCAATAGATTTATTCAAAGCTGTCTTGAGAATGCTGAATCATCCAGGTAAGGAAATCCCAAAAAGTTGATTCAGTTCATCTGGACGTGGTGTTTTCAGTGTGACATCCAAGTGACTTCTTCAGTCTCAGCTGACTGCAGGTTTCCCCAACATATTAAACAGTACATTTGTGTTTCCACAGCTGTTTTTAACTTGAACCTTTAACTGCTTAATAAACTTAAGAAAATGTACTTTGCATATTTGTCTTCTCTCATAAAATGAACCCAACAAAACCTGCATTGAGCTGAGACCCAAGAAGTCGCTTGGATTAGTGATGAAACATTTCTCCCACTGAAAGCTCTACGTCCAGATAAACATAATCTACTTTTGGGGATTTATCTAAAGCTGCATTTCCACCACAGGTTTCCCAAAGAATAAGGAACCTGCGGAGTAAATCAGGATGTTTTCCAGGGACCCGGCAATATTTTAGAGTTTTGAGGAAATATTTAACCTAACAAAACATCCTTTCTAAGCGGTATTACTGTGAATGGGGCTTTGGTTCATGTCTGCAACTACTGCACTTCTCACTCACATCACAATATGCTGCAATACCTCACAAAATATGTTCAATCTAACATTTTGAATGCACTTTGTGATGACTGCATGTCTCTTTAGTGACAAAGAATTGTGCGCTCACCTCCCTCATTTCACATTACAACATCAACATTTTAGTGTGCTCTACGCTGAAGTAGTGATCTGCAATATAGTGGCATGCCTAATTTGCCTAATCTTCACAGCTCTTTAAATCATGGTGGAAATGCAGACGACCAACAGTCTGAAGAAAGGTTTTTGTGCCTTGAAATTTCCTGGGACATTTGTGTGGAAATGTAGCTTAATACAGGATTACAAGGACCCCAGAGTGGAAAAACGTGATGGGCACAGAACGTTGATGGCCATTGAAATGTATTTTGATTTAAAGTCATTACACCTGGCCTCTAGCGTGCTGCAAATAATGCTGATAAAGGTCTGAAATGGCTGCGTAGGAACTTCCACACACAGCACAGCTCACACCGTCTGAAGGCTTTTCATTTGACATGCTGGCATTCTGAGTCACGTGTTTCTTCACAGTTCTTAAAGGGGTAATGGGTTTTCCAAGTCCATTTTTACATACACTGTCACAACTGGCCTCTTTATCTTGCACTACATTTGCCCTGCTGGGATGCTCAGAAGAATTACCCAAATCAGGATCCTGGCTTTGAACACAGGAAGTCACAATTGATTCCTGAAAAACTGGGTCTGGATATTTAGATAAGGGATCTGAGAGAGATTTAATTTCCTCAGAAGCTTGGCGTAATGTTTCTATGCCATTATTGGTGGGAGGGTTTAGCGTTTTCGTGTTTGATGGTGCATTGCGATCATCTACTGATAAATCAAAATCAGAGTCTTTGCGTATGTCTTGCGTTGAGGAATGGCAGAGCTGGTGACTAAACAGCATGTCTAGAGTTTTAAAGCTGCACCTGCAGCGCTCGCATTGATAAGGCAGAAACACTTTCTTGGGCCTGACTTGAACCCACTGGAACTCTGGGTGCTCACTCATGTGTTTTTTGTAAGGCTCTACAAACCGAAAACCTTGCCCGCATTGAGGACACGTAAAGCGGCCATCCCTGTGACGATGAATTCTCTGATGGTGCCACAACTTTTTCCAGCTTCCTAGTGTTTTACCACAGCAGGCACAGGTGTAGCTTTGACCTGGGGCGTGTGTGAGCATGTGGGCTCTGAGCCTGCCCATGTGTCTGAAGAGTCGCCCACAGTTTGGGCACAGATATCTCCTGGGATCTGATCTGTTGTCTACTTTGTTTAACTTTGACACTAGGTGTGAGAGACTGTGAGCTGGTATGACCGTGGACTGGAACGGTTTTTTCAAGTTGTTGGAGCGCTTCTTGTGGATGATCTGTGGCTGTTTCTTCTGTGTTTCACAGCTGGCAGCTGCCACCAGAGCTGAATTGTGCGCCGAAGAGCACCTGAGCGCAGGCACTGTGTACTGAATTAACGACACCGTCTCCTCCTCCTTAATCGCAGAGCTGGAGGCATTTTTTTCCACGCTGCACTGACTGCGATGGGCGTTGAATTCAGACAGCACACCAAACAGCTTGTCGCAGTACAAGCAGCGATAAAGCTTTGCGCCGGTGTGCTCTCGCATGTGGCTGTTGAACTCCTGCAAATGGTCAAAAACATTCTTGCAGATGTGGCATGTGTACGTTAGCGAAGGCTTTGGGCGTCTGTGTGCTTGCGCGTTGTCATCGCTTCCCAAAGGTCTACATGAGTGATTTTTTGCATTGCTGTAGTGAGTAAATGATTTTTCACAATGGGTGCAGTTGTAACGCTTCACAGACCAATGCGTGAGCTCGTGAACACGGAGGAAATAGGCCTGCCCGAAAGCTTTGCCACAGATGTCGCACTTATAAGGCTTCTCTCCTGTGTGGACTCGGACGTGTCTTATGAGCGCCGACTGAAATGGGAATGATTTGCCACAGTACTGGCAGACTTTTTTCTCTCTTTTTTCCACTGCTCTTTGCAGCTCCCTGCTGCTTTCCTCTGCTGGTTCTCTGCTCTGTTCCTCAGCCTTGCTGTTCTTACACTCCTCGTTCAGCTCGTGTGCGTGCACTTCCATATGTGCAGCGTACTCAGAGCAAGAGAATTTAATCTTGCAATATGGGCACTTCTGATATATGTTGCTCTTTCTGTGGGTCTTGAGATGAAGATTTAAGTTAGAGTTTTTGCTAAAACCCTTGCCACACTCTGAACACTTGAACGGCCTCTCTCCTGTATGAATGCGCTGATGGATGACGAACTGAGACAGAAACTTAAAAGTACGACCACAGTAACCACATTTCAACAGGGTTTTACCCCCCTTTTTAGTATAGATGACATTTTCGCCAACACTGGCGTTAGTTTCCTTTTCCTCATCACCGCAGTTTGTTTTTGGTTGGGTGTCACCAGCCGCTTCGTGGTTCTCTACAAGACGCTCTCTTGGTGATAAAACCTTGTTTACCATCCTCCTCCTCTTACCACCTCTTTTGCGTCGAAAAACAACATTTGGAACCTCAGATTTAACTAAGGGAGTGGTGCTGTGCTGGGAAGAATTGGGGCTATTTGACCTGGGCGCAGGTTTTAAATGCTCCAGCTCTAGCTCTAAATTCTCAGCTTTGACAGCAAACGCGGCCCCAATAGATTTCCGGGTTTGATCAGGGGGAGTCAGGGTATCTGTGCTAGAGGGCTTTGCCTTTGGCAGCTCTGCATCTGCTGGAGACTCTGAGAAGTCTGGTGTTTCTGATGGTGACTCCTCGCTGCCATTTATGTCCAATGACTGATTTACTTTAAGGTTATCAGTCTGAGTTGGGTTTGGCAAATCAGATTCTTTCAAGCTGTCTGAAGGAATAGCTTCAGGCTCAGGCTGGGAATTCACCTCTGCTTTTGGTAATGCAGTTTTGTCTCGTTGCTTCTCCTGCTCTAGTCCTTCCCCAGAATGCAGGTGGAGCTGATCATTCCTCACATCTGAATCAGTCTCACGTTTGTCAGTGTCCACCTGTTTTTCTGTCTCTGTGCTTTTTCCGCAGTCAGTGCTCAACACCAGCAAGGCCTCCTGGGATTCATCCAGCTTGGACACTTTTGCTGGAAGTTGCTGATCAATTTGCAACTTAGTCCTTCGTCTCTTCACACCTTTAGAGTTGGGTGTACGAGTACTTTCTGTAGTCCCCGCTTCAGTTTGTTTTAGATCCTCCTTGTCCTTCTTGCTATGAGAGTCTAACTTATCATCCTGCATCAAAGTAGGTTGCTCCACCCTACTCCTCAGTGTTCGTGCAGGACTGCTAAACTTATTAGCATGAGGACCAGGAGCAGCCATAGAAACCTGGTTTTGAAAAGCTGCCATTTCTGATTTTCTTGGCCTTCCTGGTCTTCTTTTTGGCAGCAAAGGAGCAGCGACTTGTACGTTGTTATCCAGGACAGGCTGAGGAGCGGGCATCTCATTATGAGCCACACTATTTATTAACTTACTATCCACAGCGTAAGGCAAATTGTCACTGTTGTGGTTTTCCACACTTGCTGGCAAAGGTATGGTGGTGCTAACTTCCTTATGCTGAACAGCATCTGGACCTCTTTTGTCTTCAGTCGGGGCTGGTTTGATTTTACGGGGTCTCCCACGTTTCTTGTGGATGATCACGGGCTTCCCTTGGCTGTCTGTTGTAGAGCTGCACACGCTAGCAGGAGTCAGAGATTTTGCTTCCACCTCTGCCTGCGAGGGCACTGCCTCACTGCGCTGACAGTTTCTCTCACCAGCTCTTTCAGAGCTGACATGAACATCAGACTCCCTGCTCCCAGGCTGTTTCAACGCCGTCCCTTTCATTTTATCTCCCCGCCTGGAGTCCACGTCTCCCTCACTGCATGTCTTACCTTCGGGTATCTGTGGAAGTAAAAAGAAGAGTGAACATTAATGAATTAATGATTTTACTTTTGTTGCACAAATCATTTGGAAAAGCATGTTTATTAAAGGTGGAAAGCATAAACACATGAACTGGGAATCATTTGCACATTTCAAAAACTATAGAGAGATATTTGCACAAATATATCTACCAAAATTGGTTCAAACTGGAAAACTAAGCGTGCATATTCACATATGCACAGATGCATGACTTGATAACACATCACATCAGACTGCGCTCTTGATTAGTGCAGATTTAAATGACGCTGTATACTGTAATAAACAGCACAAGCTCATCCACTTGTCTTTCTTACTGGCTACCTGCTTGCAGTCCGAAGAGGCATGATTGGAACTGCGAGGTTGAGGTGCCACAGAAGTTAACTCAGAGACTGTATTTTGGTCACTGCTTCCTCTGCTGAAGGACATTTTACTCCCCATGTCAAGAGTCTGTGGATTAAACAGCGACAAGGAGGCTGTAAAACGAGCAGCGACGCGTAAAAGCAAAAACGCTTCGGGCTGGGGAGTAATTATTCCCAGGATGAAAAATAGAAAATTACTAATAAACTGCATGCCATGCCCATTTGTCGTGATAAGTTTAAAGTGGATGGTTGAACTGGGATCATCTCATGCACCCACTGACTATTTTTACAGATAGGTGTACCAAACTGCAAATTTATACTGGAGAAGTATAGTAAAAGCCATAACTGGATCACACACAGCCAGATTTAAGCTCAATAAGCATATTCTGCTTTGCAAAACTTCAAGTTTTCCCACAAAAAGATGAGCAACCTTTTAAAATGATCTAAACCCGCTGGGAAAGAAGCAGAGTTTGCAACTGGTTTTACAGAGAACTGCTGAGTTTCATAACCTCGTGACTTGAAAATACGCCTCTAAGGGGACTGACACCCTTTTCCCATTACATTTCCAGAGGTAAATCTAGCATTTCTTCTACAACAGTTATATAAAAGTTAGTCAGAAGCAGGAGATGGACTTTGCCAATTTAAAAAAATAAAAACCATATAGCATCTTATAAATAATGATGTATCATTACACAACTGCTTACAAGCTATTTGGAATGAGCTCCCTAATAGGCACCTCTAACAATACAATCAATAACAATACCCTGTATGACAATATTTAAAGCTCATCATCTATCACCAACAGTTTAAAGCGACCGACCCGCAGAAACATGCACACTATCCAGGCTCAAAGTAGATTCACTGCAGTTTGCAAAAGCACAGGGCATATGCATTAGATGTAACAGAAGAAATCCAGCCTAGCTTGACAAGATGTGCATGGTTACTATTGTTATCCTGCCTTTCATCTCCACTGCAGGAACACTTCATCTGATGGAGACTTTGTGATGCTCACGAGCTGCTCACTCACATTTAAACCCCCTCTCAGACACAGCCGTGCCCCACTGGCTCACTTCTATGTTTTACAGCATTTACAGATTTAAAAAGAAACCCAGCTTCCAGTTATCATTCAAAGCTACCAAAGCCGTGACTAACAATGTGAGTTAGGCGTTATCGTGTGCTAGGCCACATCGCTAGCTCCGATAATTTGACATCACAGGCCACACGAACCTTAAGCATTAATCGCTACGCCTGCTCACACAACTTTCTTTACAGCTAGTAACGCATGTGTAGTTAATCTGTGAACGTCTGTGATGGGTGATAGTAAACACAAAGTGCTTGCCTGCGTGGGAGAGAGTCAGAACTGGTTTCTGCGTAGCCATGCGCTGACCGCCGCTCAAACTAGAACTAGCTAGCACTGGCTAACTCAAGCTGTGGCTACGAGGCATTTTGGACGCCCTTTTCTTACAGGGATGCACTGATCTAAGAGCTGAGCTGTTAATGTGGGCCTCGCTTTTTCTTCTTTTCTGAACAGTTTGCAGGAGTGAATCAGTCGGTATCCACACACAAAGCAACCTGAAAAAACTGTTAATTAAGCCGAGCGCAGAGAGCGGGTAGTTAGAGTGCTGTGGGAAATTTCGGAACTCCTCATGGGGAAAACTTTCAAAATTGTAATCAGAACACGCGCACACAAAAAACAGCAGATTTGTTCTGTTTGTCAATATGTGTGTGTTGCTGAGACAATTAGAAATGTTATAAACAAGAAGCGTGGAAGGCAAAAAGACATACATTCATTTAGCAATTAACAATAATGGGAGTATGCCCAACTCCTACTCGTTCTGCAGTTTTAAGTTTTCGCAGTTAGTCCGTGCCAGATGTGCAAGCAGCAGGTATCTCAATGTACACCCAATATATATCCAGTTTGGCATATGTTGCCTTAACACATAGGATTTAAATTGACGCTTCTTTTACACACAGACAACAAGTGAACTCCGCATGCGCGCTTCTGCAGCATCTTTGATTTTAAGGTATGGACGTTACCTCATAATGAATGGACGCACGACGTCGCTTTGTTTGTGCTTTGAAACAGCTCCCTCTGCTGGAGAACCACTAATGACAATGAAACTGTCATCATTAGTTTGGTGGATACAAAAAAACAGGCAATTTTAAGAGTGGAGGCACAAAACTTGATAAAAATTAAGAAAAAAAACCCCTAATACACTATTAATATACCTCATTTTCAGACAGTATCTTTAAAATATCTATAATGAATTATTTTTCACATTTGTATGTATTTGATGTACTTTGTGAAAGATTACCAGCGCTTTACAATGCAGTATTAAAATATGCAGGATCTGGTATCCTCGTGTCGTTTCCACATCATCATAATAAATGTTGTTCCAGGTTCAACATTGCAAGTGACCAATCACATTGTTGTGACGTAATACTACAAAGTGTCATGAACACAAAACACTGAGTTTGAAAATATACTTTAATACATTATATATTGTATTCTTAAAAGTCTCTACAAAGCTGGTATGAACACACTGGGCATTTTGGCCAATCCCCACAGCTTCACAACACATTCTGATCATACTAAAAACATAAAAACAGAGCAAAAACTATAATAGTGCCGGTTAGGGCACCAAACTTGATTCAACCCCCACATACGTACATTTTTTTTCATCTTCTGCAACCACCACAGAGGTACCACCTTCATACTTTTATAAATTCGAAATGCATTAACAAAAGAAATCGAGGTGAATTAAAGATGCATTTTTATTATCACTACTCTCTATATCTTAAAACAGTCTTGAGCAAACCAGGAAGCATCATGCTCCTGTGCAGTGAACTGGGCAATTCCTTTCAACCAGGATGTCGCCATCTCTATGCGCTTGGTCCATATTTTACATGACATGCAGACTGGATGTGCCTCACTAGTTTTGTCAAGTCTTGATTGGTACAGATGACGTTACTTGGTAAATCATCTCAGCAGGTTTGCCTGGTCCGCCTTCAACGATGTAACAGTCATCATCGCTATCTACTCCCGCGTTCCCGTTGACAGGCCCTTTTTCCAAGTTTACAGTCAGGATTTGGCTCTTCTTCACATTACCAGAAGGTGGTATAATGTATTTCCTTTTGCCATTTACCTGAGCAGGAACTGGGCTTGCCACTGGCATCATCTTTTTGAACTGCTGCATGCCACCTCGCACGTGTTGGGCCATAAACTCCCGTGCTTTGACACACTTGTGCCTCTGAAGGAGTTGAGCAGAATCAAAAGAAATATGACAGACTCGGCATGGGAAGCCACTTGATGCAGAAGACACCCCTGCAGAGTTTGTGGGCATCTTTAACTGCCAAGTAGGATTTTGAGTCTGAAACTTTGATGGAAAGGACACACCAATGTTGGGGTTGGATGCATTCTTAAACTGCAATAATGGAGTGACACGTACCCTCTGATTGTTAATGAAAGGGACACTCTTAATTTTCAAGATGGAAGTGGGGGGCAGTTCACCAATATTCTGATTTGTCACCTGCAGAGAGGAAGTAGTCGGAAGACCCAGGGCGCTCAGAGTCTTTGCCCCACTAAGTGGCTTTGCTGTTACTAGCCTGAATTTGGATCCGTTGTTTGGTGAGTTACATACATGGTAGCGAGGCACGACCTTTTTGCTGGAGAGCAGCAGCCCACATCCTATGCAGCCCGAAATTTTGTCAGGAACATGGAAGTTGTGGTGGGAGATGAGTAAGGTCTTTGAGAAAAAACACTGCCCACACTTACCACAAGAGTATGGCTTTTGCTTGTTAAACCTGCGCACAGTTGGCAGCAACACAACTGGCTGATAAAGCGTCCAGACATCCACTGTCGGTGCGCCAACATCTGCGAAAATATTCTGCATGTCTGTTGTTGAGGATGCGGGGTTTGGGAGCAAAGATGCTTGTGACATTGATGGGTACAACTCAGGCACTTGTGAAATTTTTGCAGGCTGCACGCAAAGCTGCGGCACACACACCGACGCACTGGGTACCTGCAGCACAGGAGTCACTGGCAAAGAAACTGGGGGTGCACTGGCCTTTGTCCAAGCATTGGTCATTTTAGGCGTATTCCAGATTACCTCACCCTTCTGTATCCTTTTAAGTTTCTCCTCCTCCTCTATGCGCTTCTCTATCCTGCGGTTCCTTATGGTTTTGTGATCAAGCACTTGGTGCCCGGGCTCGTGCATAGTGCTGTGCTCCTGCATGTGCTTGTACTCAGTAAACTCGGTCCCGCAGGAGCAGATGAAACTCGCGGATGAACACATATGCTCCTCCAGGCATTTCCTGTTTGCAAATATCTGCTCACAGCTGAAGCAAAACTGCCCTCCATTCATCAGGTCTGTGACCAAGTTGTAATCCAGGGCGCTTTGCCTTCCTGTCTCCATCCTCAGACTGGGCATTAGTGTGTTCACTGCTAACGGGGAGCCCGCTGGTCCTGGTAGAAGAAGCAGGTTTGAGAATAAATATAAATCACAAGCAGTGTACGGAACATCACTTTTAGCTTCTTTTTACATGTTTAAAATGCATTTGCTGTTCGCCTATAAAGGAAAGTCCAAACTTCTGCGCTTTGCACAATTACTAGCAAATCACTACAACTGTGAAAGGAAAACCAAATTATTAGGCGGTGAATTATTCACAAAAAAGCACTGTACACTTGAGACATCTGGAGGGTAAAGCACCTTAGCTAGCAACGCTGTAAAATTAATAATGGCTTTTTTTAATCTAACGCGCGCTTCCTTTGCTACATGCCTAGCATGCTAGCGTTAGCCTCTGCTACATCACATACAACATCATTAGCTCATCCCAACATGAAAACGAAACCGCTGCCATCCCAATAGTAAGGCATTACCTTGGAAAAGCTGCAAACTGTTTGTCTGGTGTCGTTTTGCGAGACATTAACAAATGGGCTGAGTCGCCGGTATGTAGCACAAATAGGTAGCAGTTAGCCTGTAACCACACCGAACAAACAAGAGGGAAGAAGGAAAAAAAAGAGAAATCCTTATCTTCTTCTCTTAAACATCACACGCTGTTATGTTTCACTAGCGCCACCAACTGGGAATCTTAATGCATTCACCGAGTATAACAATAAAAATCAGGAAAATCAGAAAATCCCCCAAAACATAACATAACAAAACAAACAAACAAACAAAACCAGCAATAAAGTTTTAGATACTCTATCTTTATTCAATTTACAGAACAAACCGAAAGGGTGTAGGCTGATGCTAAAGCTAAAACACCTCAAGAAAATCAATTCAACTACAACTCACCTCACCTTTTAATCAAGACAAAAAGAAGAAAAACAAAGAAATAATAGATCACTAATGTCAAATATACAACTACAGATGAACTCTTTAAATCTAAAGCATCGTCGCAGTAAACAGTTATCACAGTACTGAATAATTTTGTCTGGGAAGCCTGTTAATTTCTTCTTAAATGGTGCCATATTTGGTGATTTAGCAGCAGAGCTGAGCACGTGGGCTGTGCCTGTGAAACACTTGCCAAATCTTCTCTAACAATACGAAACAGCTTCTGGATATTAAGTGGTAATTATCTCTTGTAGGCTTTGTCCATAATTTGAATTATGCTGAAAACTACTAATCTATCATACTTTGTTTAATTTCAGTGTATTTATTGAATATATATATTGGATTTGTTGACTCACTGTAGGGTTTGATAGTTCTCATTCATATGGTTTCAAAATAATTATTTCTTTATTAGGTTTTATTTATATAAGTAAAAAGTTAGAAGTTTGTCTCAAGTTTCCAAACACATCTACACATTAAATCATACATGGAACTATATGAGAATAATCTAAATACAATTTATTTGTATATGAGGTCTTCAACTTTGACCATACTGAACTAGATTTGGACATTTAGGTTTAGATCCAATTTCTATCCAATTTCCAATTTCATTTTACATAAACTAAGTTCTTAGTTATTGCCTGAGGAACATGAAATCAAACTATTTACAACAACAAAGGTTTATAAGTCAAAGCTTTACTCCTTTCGTTTCAGTATCTTTTCCATTCTTTCATCATAATATTGCTAATATTTCCTTCTCCTTAACCCCCCCCCCAATACTGCTATAAAGGTGTAAAGAATAATTTCCTGGCATACTTTGGACCCACTAGTATCAAATGAACACCATTTAAACACCAAAGCCTACCTCTTGTTGCTGACCATGTCCAACCCTGTGTGTACCCATCTTCTGATGTCTGCTTCTTGCAGAATAACACATCACAAAGTTTAAATGATCTGAAACTGATTTCTTGAACATGGCAGTGATTTCACCGCACCTTTGGGATGTGGGAGAAAAGGAGATTCACATGATGGATGTGCAACTCAAAGCTGCATCACACAGTTGCTCCAGCAACTATGATGCTATCATGTCAACGTGGACCAAAATCTCTGAGGAATGTTTCCTGCACCTTGTTGACTCTGAGACAAAGAAATAAAGCAGTTCTGAAAGCAAAAATGGCTTCACCAAAAGTACCTAATAGTGTCTGGTGAGTATGCGGTAAGTCCCTTTATCCATGTCACTAGTTCAGTGAGACCTGTACATTTAATCCAGTTTAATCCAGCCTAAGTGAGTCTTACACAAACAAGTTAACACGAATGTTATTAAACCTTCCGACAGCAGGCACAACCTGTGAGTTTTACTTAAACTAATACCTATACTGATTGTTACTAATCTACTTTTGCATTTGCTGCAGTTTATGTCAGTGAATTGTAGATTTCACGCTGTAAAGAAAGACACTGACACGGATGTTCTGATGTTCAATCCAGACCTTGCAAATGGCAGCAGACTCAGTGCCACTTGCTCTAGAATGTTGCCTTGGACACACAGATATTAAGCACTTCTAATTCTGCTGATGAGGGTCATTTGATAAAGTTAAAATCTCCTCAAGTAGGGATTAAATAAACTGCTTGAAATCCTGTTTGTACAGCTTTTGAGCACTGTGCTCTCAAGTGTATATCACAGCATTTTAACTTTAGTGCACACCCACATCATGTACTTTTCATTTGTCAACCATGTTGATTTATTCTGATTACCATTATACCACAAACACTTTAACATGGCCTGTTCAGACAGCAGCCTTGAGTCCAGGTAATTGTGGCTAGATTGAGCTCCTAAGTAAGCCACTTAGTACTTATGTAATATGCAAAGTGAGCTATAAATGACCACACAGATTAAGGAAATAAAAAAAATGGGAGGGAAATTAGTATTCTCTCATAAATATGCAAATCTCAGATATGTTTTCTTTCTATTGAGTACCTACAATTTAAGTATGAAGCAGCAATCTAATGATCTTGGTACATCACATTCATGAAAACCTTAAGTTACAGAAATATTAATACAATGCTCCAAAAGACCACATAGGATGATGGAGGTGGCATAAAACATAAAACTGTGACAACATGAAGTAAGCACCCTTTACTTGATAAGGTTTGGTCAATATACTTAATATGTCCATTGAGAGAGTTCACAACTTTTCTGTTTCACATACTGGTATCTTTATTAACACCAAGAACAACAACAAGCTACAGCACCAACCCGATGATAAAAGTTTGGTTATCAAATATTCAATCATTTACAGGCTACTGAGAACAGGGAAAATAAGGATCAACTTAGTAAAACTAAAATGTGTAGTATGTCTGTTTTTTGTTTTTTTTTAAACATTTTTAAAGAGGGTTAAGCTACTATCGCACTTTAAAAAAAACAAACAAACACCTTATGTAGCTGTACAACATCCTGTAAAGTTTAAAAACAAAAAAGCAAAAAGAACACAGTATAATAAAAAAGAGCTCATTTCTTAATCCAACACTCTCAAAGACAGACACAATTTTTAAAAATGTTGTTAAGATGTAAGCTGTTCTTGTGTTTTTGGATTTATGTCCCCAGCCATGATGCGATGAATCCTCCGGCGGTGGTTTTTGAGTGATTTCAGGTTTGGGTACGTACCCTGGCAGACGTCGCATCGGTATGATTCAGACTGTTTGTGAGTCAGCAGGTGTTTCTGCAAACTCTCCACTGTACCAAACCAGCGGAGGCAAACAGGACAGCGGACAGGCTTGATGGCAGGCTTGCAGGCACCGCTCCTCTGGTGAAAAATCAGACTGATGGTGTTCGGAAAGTCAGCGTTGCAGTGGGAACAGTGCACGCTTTTGGGTGGGCTTGCAAACTGATTTGTAACCCGTGCACCTTTGCATCGATTCCATGATATGTGCCTTCGGAGGGAACAGCGAGTTGCAAAAGTATTCCCGCATCGTGTGCACACAATCCTCCCCTGCTTCTTTGGTGGATTTGGTAGTGGCTCTGGGTGTGATTGCTTCTGTGGAGGAGGGTGCACTGACTGAACCTGCTGCTGCTGTTGTTGTTGTTGTTGCTGCGGCGGCGGCGGAGTTTGCTGCTGCTGAAATCGAATCAACAGTGGTTGTGATCGCTGTGGCTGTAGTCCCTTCAGTAACTGGTGATGAGGATGCATGTGGATCTGCAAATGAACTTCATAGTCTGCCCAGGAATTGACTGTTTCTCCACAAGTTGGACAAGTGTACGATTCTTGAGCATGCTTCTGCAAATGCTCCAAGAGAAGTCTCGGAGACGTAAATCCGACCCCACACTCACACGTCACCCTCCTTGGAAGTACAGACGGCAGTGACATGATGCCCCAGTTTCCTCCATCATCCTCCTGGGTTTGACTTGCTGGCTCTGCTGATCCATTGCCTGGCAAGCTCGTCTGCACAGTCCCTCTTTCCACATCTGCCATGGTTCGTTGAAACTGACATCTTTTTCTATGAACCATCATGTTATCTTTGCGGTTGAAGGCCTTCCCACACACAAAACAGGAAAACATTGGTTTGATATTATTGGCATTCAGTGTAATCAAACCCTGACTACCACCCTGTGCTATAGCTCCAAACCCACGTGGCCTGAAACCACAGAGTCGCAGGTGGCGCCTCAAAGTTGAAGCACGGCTGTAGGTTTTCTGACACCTGTTGCACGGGTATCGTTTCACTCCATCCCGGACGAAATAGCGCAGACCATGTTCGACTGAAAAGGAGTTCTTCGCTTCATCATCAACACCCTTCTCTGCAGAACTGAACACCTGCGTTTCATCATCCAAAGGCATCGTCCACTGCCCTTCGTTACTACCGTCACTATTGGCTGCTTCTGCATCCCAGTTATTTTCTTCTCCTTGCTGGAGTGAAATGCTACACACAGAATTATCCTTGTGCTGCTCCATCACTGGAGATTTCAGGGAGAATGGGGAGAAGTTCTGTGCTGGGCGAGCCCAGGCCAATTGTGAAACTGCAGACTGCTCTGCATTTGGAGAGGTTACCTCTACCTTGATACGGCCAGTAACTTCCGTGCCCACGGCAATGCTCTTGGAATTCTGGGATGCAGCACTGACTTCATCCACACCATCACTGGCAATGCTGTTAGTGGACTGCAGTGCTAGCATCTTCTGTATTGAGGGATTGATCTGCTGAGAGAGGACTGACCTTGGACCTTGGCACTTGTGCGTTTTGAGGTTCCACCTCCGTGCATAGCTGTGCTTGCACATTGGACAGAAGAAAACCTTTTTCGCATTGTTGAGACTGTGGAACGGCACTATTTTCTGTGCAAATGGAAACTTGGATTTTAAAGCGCTCAATGGCGGTAGAGCCCTGTTTCCGAACTGAGGGCACACATGATTGTCAGGCAAAGGCAGTCTCCCAATGATCAGCTGTTTGCATCGACGACAACACTTAATCCTCTCTTTTTTGTGTAAAAAATGATGCTCTGTCAATCTGTCCAGGTTCTGAAAAACCCTACGACAGCGGCCACACTGGTATTTCCCGTATGTTCCGTTACCAACAGGATCCATGAGCTTTTGACGAGTCTCGAGAACTACAACAGGAGATAAAGTCTTAGTCAGAGAGACAACCCTCTTCTTACTGGACTCAAGAATTCTGCTAATGGATGGAGCCTTTGTCTTTATATCAGGTTTTGCGAGGAGTCGCCTCAACTGTGCAATAGACAGATCATTGATTGGCGCCGCTTCTGTTTTTGATCCTGGTGTTATATCCACGGGTACAGCTTCCTGCTTCGGGATAACTGTGTTTTCGTTCTGATCCTGACTCTGAGGAAGGGGTAAGTGTTTCATGTACGCTGATGCGAGCAGCTTCATAAGGATGTTATTTGTGGGCAAATTCTCTCCTTTTTCACAGCTGCGGACAGCATTTGTGTTCTCCTCGAAATTAGTTTCCTCCACAGTCTCTGGTATTTGCTCGGCAGTGGATGACATGTTCTGAAGTTGCTCCTCATTATCATTTTCAGGGGGAGCACACTGGCCTTGAGGATCGGTTACTATGGCAATATTGTCCTCCAGGCTTACATCTGCTTTTTGGGCTGTTAAAGTAGGTAATTCAACAGCTGGGGACTTGGAGGTAGAGGGACAAGCAAGGGCCAAACTGGACTGGGTTACAGGAGTGAATGATACATGCTGGGTTGGAAAATCCTTATTGCAATCTGTTGCACTGGGGAGAACAATGTTACTATCCAGGGGCTGCAGCAGCTGTATTTGAGATATATGTGAACGTTTGTGCTCCAGCATAAGACCAAAGTCCTGAAATTCCTCTCCACAATCACAAATAAAGAAAGAAGGTGTAGGGCTGTCAGGCAAGAGTGATGGCGAGCTTAGGTGCTCGATGGATGAGTCTGTACTTGCAAACGGCGTTTCATGTGGGCTGATGTTAGGCTGGGTTGGAGGAGGGGAGGTGACCTTGGAGGGTGGGCTGGCATGGGTTGCCTGATGTACTAGCAATGAGGCCAATCCAGTAAAGGTGGCTGAACAAGCCACACAGCGATACACTTTGGCAGCATTTCCCTGTAGCCCAAGCATCATGGCAGCCAATTTACCCTGTGAGGCAGGCGATCAGGTGGTCAAACAGGATGGATTCCTGTAAATCACACAAACAACATGAAGAAAAGGATGTCAGCAATAGAAAGCAGACAGTCTCCTTTTAACAGTATACACCACAAGCACACATATTTATTTCAATTAATTCTACAGTTAAATGTGTTTTTTATGAGTACTGATGCCAGGGTTCCCCAAGTGTAGAGCAAACCCTGTGGTTTGGCAGGCCTACGGTGACCCCCAAACCGTTGGAGAGTACATTTTCACACAGGAAAAAGGCAACTGAAAAAAATGTAAAGTAGATTTAAGGAGGAAAGTGTCCGTCAGGTATTAGTCCGCCAATTGCAGATTACAGAAGGGTAGAGCCTTTATCATTGTATGTAAAAGTGGTCAACTCTTGCTAATATAGCTTTGAAGAAAATTAATTCCCTGGAGTCTGTCTGTAGTGTGCCAATTAGCATTATAGCAGGTGTTTGTGCGACAATAATTTAGTGCAACATTAAATTGACCCAGCAGAAACCCGAGTAAAACAAAACAACAATAAGGAAGCCAGAATTCTAGGTTTCCTGCTACCCATAAGCCCTTTGGAGAAATTATAGAGGAGCATTTTCCATACACACTAAGCCTTGAGCTTTATTTACTTATGTGTATACAAATCACCTTAATTTATACACACAAAAAAAAAAAAATGCAGAAAGTTTTGCATATGACCACCGACCAATTTTGTTTGGTTGGAGAAAAGCAAAGTCACTGATGCAAAAAGCCAAAAGAATGTCCCATCTTTGTTCACAATATATATATTAGGGGTGCAA